CTCTTTCAGAAGAGATGGGTGAAGGTGAATATTCAAGAGACAGTGGATCCAACCTTCCGTCTAAAATACCAACCAACAAAAATATATTTGAACGCCAAGGAATGTCTTATCTCCAACAAATTCTAAATTGATTATAACAAAATAAATGTACGTAATTTGAAGCTTTTAATCAAGTTCACAGTTATCATAAAAGTAAGTTTCATACGTTGCCATTAGTTGCTAGGCAAAAGATCCTAATAAAATAGCGGTTCACTGGTTCTTGTAGTCCTTAGTATCAACTGTATTTCATATTTCAGTCACAGAACAGGAATGGTATACACAGACTCAAAAAATACACTCCAATTAATGTTCAGATTGTATCAATAACATGATCGTTTTCTACTTAGGGCCAACGTAGGATTCACCATTTTTGTGAAATGAAGCATAATCCAACATTCCAGGGTAGTGAGTGGAAACGGGAAAGGCACCGTTGAGATAATTTTTTCTAAAAGTTTGAATGCATGGGTCGACATTAATCGTTTCTTATCGATTTGCGCACCGCTGCAGAGATTTAAATGACAATTTACTAAAATACTGATTTACTATTCACTTAAATTTAAAAACCGTTGTTCTCCCATCGCTTTTTTTCGTCTTCCAAGTTGCCATTTCCTGTATAAATCTCAAAATTCCTTGTTGCTTGTATATTCTTAGGCCCAAATATTTATTCATTTTCAAAAATACAAGTTCTTGAGTTGCAGGTTCAAAGTCTATTCTCCAAATTTAATCATGAAGCTCACTTTTATTTGTTAATGTTTTACTGATACATTCTAAAATGATTTATTACAAGTAGTCTGGGAGCTGCTGACCACTCACCTCCTTCAAGTACCAAGGTTGAGAATAAGTATGTGCTATACCTCCAGCCACCCAAGTGACATCAACACGTAATGGGATGGTAGTCATAATACTACTTTGCTGTTGATTCTGATTTTATGAATAAAGCAGAATTTATTTACATTCCAAACATCCTTCATAGGCCCAAGCCAAGGATGTAAACATGTCATAACATATAGACACACTTAATTTTATCTGTATTTTATTTTGCTGACCAGTAAGATAATTTTTGTATTATTCTTAGAGCAAAGTGAAAAAGCAATGAAATAATGCATCACTTTTGATTTATCCCACTGTGAAGTGGAAAAAGTTAAGATATTTACTACTGATATGTGATGAAAAAAGATCTTGTCTGTAAGCCATTATCTGATAATACAATAAAATATTAAATTCCTAGAAAAACAATGACTCATGGCAAAATTTTGACATTGTAGTTCTTATTTGCCACTTGCTTTTCTTTTCAGTCAATTTACACAATCTCAAAACTCCACTGAAAATGTTGGTATTATTGGCAACTGAAAGTTAGAAATCAAATGCATGTGATGGCCTGATATTCACACTAAATTTATATAAAATATGTTGACTGGCACATCAGACATTGGTAGAGGAGTTGGGCAGACACACAGAAAAGGGCACATATAACCTAACCTTCCCTTATAAGGAACAGGGGTTTATAGGTTACACACACATATACACACTTAGAGGTTGAGGATACACACAAGTGAGAACTGGATAATGAAATAAAATTAATTTATTGTTCACAGATTTGAAGATCAAACTATAAATTGTTGTCTTTCAGTATTCCTTGAGAATTATATGTGTAGGCCTATGAAAATTCACAATTTAGTTTTTGATGCTTCATAAATGGATACATTTGATACAATATATTTCCTTCTATGGATAATGAAATTGTATCATATTTAAGACTGATCTAATTTCCAGTTCCCTTTACTAAACAACTCTGCAGGTATATGATAATAATATTAAAAACACAAGTACTATATAATATTCTTTTCCATAACTCATCCTTCTCAAATAATACAACAAAAATGACATATACATCCAATTAACAGATGCTGCAATGATGATTA